TTTGTGGAAAAATTTGTGAACCGATTTTTATAAAATATATTTTAAAACAAAGTTCGATAATTTAAGCATACATGCGTGTTTAAAATTTTCCATTTGGTTCTCTCATTTAGATACGGTGAGCCAAAATTAACCGGCGCGATACTAAACACAACCCTAATCGGATTCGTGCCATAATTTCTTTAACGTTATTTCTCAAATATTTTTTTTTATAATAAAAGAAAAATGTAGGATACTACCTAATAAACCCAAAGTGAAATGAACAAATTTATTGTGAAACCCCATATTGTCAAATAAACTCTATTATCTGATTAGAGAATAATTTAGCAACTCTGCTTTTATAGAAAGCGGTAAACTCAGCTGAAAATAAAACATCTTTGGAACACGTCAGGTATTTCAGCCGCTGTCATTTTGCTCATAGATATCAGTTGGTATAAAAGTTGTGAAAGTTCTAGTATTTACTGGTGTAAACTTCCTTATTACGAGATTTTCAGTATTGAATATTTGAATAAAAAAATTAAAAGGTAACTTCAATAAAATTAATAAAATATTTTCTCGTTTTTTTAATTTTTGAATCCAACCTTACATGTTTTTATGTCCTGCCTGCTGTCAAAAAAATACTTATTGTAAATTATGGTAAATCAACGAGATAGTTAGCCAGCTGGTGAAAAACTTAAGAATACACAGAATTTTCCTACTGAGTATACGTAAGCACCGGCAAGAAGTCAATATGTTAACCGACACAAGTATCAAAAATGATACTGCAAACCGACAGCGGAGTACCACGTCATTAACATATATTTTACACTTATTTTTAACCGCCTGCCTGCTGGTATTGGCTAGCAGCCACATATCTGGCATCAATGCTGCGGCTGTAATGTCTGTTGATCTAGGAACAGAATGGATGAAAGTTGGCGTAGTCTCTGCCGGCGTACCAATGGAAATTGCGCTTAATAAAGAATCGAAACGTAAAACACCGGCGTTATTAGCATTTCGTGATGGTATACGTACATTTGGTGAAGATGGTATGACTGTCGGCATACGTGAACCCGCTGCAGCTTATGGCTATTTACTCGATTTGTTAGGGAAGACAATAGATAATCCAATTGTTGATTTGTACAGGTGGGTAAATTACGAAGTAAAGTAATTAAAAATTATGGATATTCTATTAGAAGTCTACAATGAATTATATTTTAAAATTTTTTATTTATAGGAAACGTTTCCCTTATTATGAAATTATAGGGGATCCCGAGCGCAACACAGTAATTTTTAGAAAAAGTGATTCAGAGCAGTTTTCTGTTGAAGAGTTAATTGCGCAAATACTTGTTAAAGCTAAGGAGTTCGCACAGGAATCCACATCTCAGATTATAACCGAATGCGTTCTTACGGTTCCCGGGTATTTTGGACAGGCAGAACGTGAAGCTTTCTTGACTGCTGCTGAATTGGCTAATCTAAAAGTTTTGCAACTGATCAATGACTATACTGCAGTGGCCCTTAACTATGGAGTATTTCACCGGGCAGAAATTAATGAGACTGCGCAATACTTTATTTTTTACGACATGGGGGCATACAAAACATCGGCAGCCGTGGTCAGTTATCAGTTAATGAAGGACAAATTAACAAAAGAAACGAATCCGGTTATACAGGTGTTAGGTGTGGGTTACGATCGCACTTTGGGTGGACTAGAGCTTCAACTTCGTCTTCGTGACTATTTAGCTGCTGAATTCAATGCCATGAAGAAAACAGAGACTGATGTAACAACTAGCCCACGTGCACTTGCCAAACTATTCAAAGAGGCGGGCCGTGTTAAGAATGTTCTTTCAGCGAATAATGATCATTTTGCTCAAATAGAGAATTTACTAGAAGATCTAGATTTTAAACTGCAAGTAACTCGTGAAAAGTTAGAGGAACTCGGTGCAGATTTATGGCCAAGAGTTGTGAAACCACTTGAACAAGCTCTCTCCGCCTCAGGACTTTCCTTGGATACTATTTCCCAAGTTATAATTTTTGGTGGTGGTACACGTGTACCTAAAGTTCAAGAAATCCTAAAGCAAGCCATTAAACAAGATTTGGGTAAGAGCTTAAATGCTGACGAGGCCGCAACTATGGGAGCAGTATACAAAGCAGCAGATTTAGCTACTGGATTCAAAGTAAAAAAATTCATTGTAAAGGACGCTGTTATATTCCCAATTCAAGTTACTTTCGAACGCGATCCTGGTGATGGCAGCGCAGTGCGCCAAGTAAAGCGTGTACTCTTTAGCCAAATGAACTCTTATCCGCAGAAAAAAGTTATTACTTTCAATAAGCATACAGAAGACTTCGACTTTAATGTTCATTATGGCGACTTAAGTCATTTATCTGCTCAAGAAATTTCCTATATTGGTTCATTGAACATATCTCGCGTGGAATTGGAAAAAGTGAAGGAACTGATTGAGAAACACCAAAATGATGTAATTGAATCTAAGGGTATTAAGGCTTACTTTACGTTAGATGATTCAGGCATATTTCATTGTGCTGGTGTGGAATATGTTTATGAAAAACAAAAGGAAGACGAAGGAACATTAGCTAAACTTGGCAGCACCATAAGCAAACTTTTCTCAAAAGATGATGCAAAAGACACAGAAAACAGTGAGGGCGAAGATGCTGAAAAGCTAGATCCTAAAGAATCTAAAGGTGAAACAGCTGAGAAGAAGAGTGAAAAAGATTCTCCAAGCGACAATAAAACTGAGGAAATTAAATTAGACAACGAAAAAGACAAAAGTGTTAAAAATGCCACTATTAAATTAGTTACGATTAAAGAGCCTGTGGAACATAAAATAACACAACTCGTCACCATCCCCCTAACAGGTGATTCATATGAAAAATCTGTAGCAAAATTGTCGTCAATAAATGCTGCTGAATCCATCCGCAACCGCTTAGAGTCGGCTTTGAATGCACTTGAATCACATGTAATTGAAATACAACAAAAATTAGACGAAGAAGAGTATGCTTCTTGTGCTTCGTCAGAAGAAAAAGAAAAAATTCTTGAATTGTGCTCGACAATATCCGATTGGCTTTATGAGGATCATGAAAATCCCACGCCGGAAATGTATGAGGAACGATTAAAAGAGTTAAAAAAACTTACAAATGTCTTCTTTTCACGTCATTGGGAGCACTCAGAACGTCCAGAAGCACTAAAGGCACTGGATAGTATGATTGATGGCGCAAAGAAATTTCTTGACAGTGCTAAAAATTTAACCAAAGAATCAAATCCTGAGAAAGATGTATTCACACAAGTCGAAATCGAAACACTCAGCAAAGTGATAGGCGAAACCAGTGACTGGAAGAAATCTGAAAACAAGGCTCAACAGCAACTACAACGCCATGATGAAGTTCGCTTGACAGTTAAAGACATTACCGATAAAATGTCACTACTTGACCGCGAGGTAAAATATATGGTTAACAAACTAAAAATCTGGAAGCCGAAAGTAAAGCCAACTAAAAAAACTAAAAAAGACAACAAAACTGAAACCTACGAGAAAAATGGTGAAGAGGAGAGTACGTCTGGTGCCAGTAATGAAGAACAAACAAAAGAGGAAGAACCTGAATCTGAATCTGAAAACACAGTCAATGAGAAAGTAGATCAGACCGAAGATAAGGAAGATAAGACAACAGAAAAACCGCCAAATGCGGAAGAACACACTCCGCGCTCCGATTTGTAAGAGTTTGAGAGCTGAACAGTATGTGATAGTTCATATATATAGAGACCAATTGCAGGTCTAATAATGCTAAGTGAATGACTGCATCAAACTCAACAACTTTTTAGTCTACAGCACTTTACAATTTATTATAAAGAAACAAAGTAAGCATTTTCCATTCCACCCCAAATCTGTTTAAAATGTCAAAATAGACGTATCTCTACAACTAAGCTAGATTGTTTACGTATTTCTAAAATGTATCTTAAATATCTTCTTAAACTCGCCTGTCACTACAGATAACATCAAAAGATAGTCATCTGTGCTATTTTATATGAAGAAAGTCTGTACACTATGAAACATAAAAAGCAAATTTAGTTTAATTTTTATATCCAATAGACACTGTACGTGCTATGTTTCTAAGTTATTATAAAATTATTGTTCAGAATGGGAGAAATATATGTAGAAATTTATGAATACTTTTAGACCATTTTGTAATTTGAATTACAATAATTTATTTTCAATTATATGTTTATAGCAACAAATTTAAAAATATGTTTACATACAAAACGATAAATCTGCAATTTTAATTGAACTGGAAGGTCTTAAAATATATAAATATTAAAAGTTCAATTTCATGCTTGGATTTGAAAAGCTTCCAGGTCAATAGTGGCGGATTGTATGTTCATTTATGGAGAACTTTTTCAATATATACTTACTACCGAATTTATTATGTATTTAATATTTTCAAAAACAAAATAGATTATATTTTTTTAATTAAAAACGGTCAACATTTGAAAAAATTTGGGCGGAATTTAAAAGTTTTTCGAGGTGGTAACCCTATCAGAAAGTTTAAAGATAATATATTAATTTAAAAATGAAATAAAGTTTCGTGATAATTAACACTTTAATTAAGACATGTTGATATAATTTTTAAGTCACCATTCTATTACATATAATGATATAAACTATTTATAATGGAATTGTCACAATTAATAAAACTGCAGTTGTTATTCTCTGCTTTACTTCTATGGAACATTGTTGAAAAAGTCATAAAATATCACCAATGAAAAAATAATTCATCAATGTTGCCGTATTACTATTGCAACGTGACTTTCCCAGGAGGTCAATCCATGGAAAAAGTTGCACCAAAAGCGACTTGTATACACCATGAAATTCATAAGACCTTTGGTATGAACGATTGCTCGAACACAAGAGTTTTGTTTCGAATTTTCAATTGGACCTTAAGCACCGCATAAAAACTAACAGAAATCTATGGTAGAGCTGTTGGGCAACTACATGGTTGGTCATAGTCATAGCCCTGCAAAATTTCTTTAATTATAACGAACAGTGCATCATATAACATATTGATCTAGTAAAAAAAGATTATATATTTAAAATTATTATAAAAAGATAATGTATTTCAAACATTTTTTTAGTAATAAGCTTTAAAATAAAATAAAAAACAAATGAAGTTTTTCTTTTAAAGAAGGGAAATAGTAATTCTTCAATATGGTAAGGCCGAAGTTGCGTCGCAGTTGTCGTCTTCGTATTCTCCTTTTGGTAATTTTTTGTCTTCCTTCTTTCACTTTGCTTCTTATATTTGTTGGCGAAAGTGATTTTTCGGTTTGGTTAATTTTCACAGATTTGTGAATCTTATGTGCTCTTATAAATAGAAACTTTGTTTGCGTGTGTGGATAATTAACTATGAAAAGCTTTTTCAGAAAAATATGTTAATTTAATTTTAATAGAACTTCGAATTTCAATTGGTGAAGAAATATAGAAATAAAAGATATATAAAAAGTGTATGAACAATGGAAATAGRATCCCGTACGTGAGAGATAGATGTTGGGAGTCTGGTTAAGAGACATCGTAAGCGGTATTGCAGTGTGAAGGGATTGGTAGACCAATGTGGCCAATTCCAAGTTGATGCTCAGTAATTTCCTTCGATTCACTTCGATTTCTTCATTGCAATTTTCCCCTATTGTCACAATGTACATTTCATGTCGTCGTTTATCGTTTCTTATACTTTCGTACTCTAGTGGTCGATTTTGAGTTCTTGTTTTATTAAATTCGCTTTATACAATTTTATGGCCAGAAAAAGTCAAATGTGCTTGTATTATCCAAATTACTAAATGGAACTATAAGCGAATATAAAATTATTTTAGAAAAATAGGAAAATTTATAATTTACGAAAAGTGTGAAATATTTGTAAATTTTAGTGTTTTTATGTGATTAAAATAAAAAAAATAGAAAAAAATACATTTAAAAGTGAAATCCGCCCCAATTTTACCTGAAACAACGATTTCAAACGACTCTTACTGCGCAGTCGACAGAGATACAAGCGCTAAGGTTGACGCTGACGTTGCTTGTGACGACAGTTACGGTTTTGGTGAAAAAGTGCAGTGTACCTGAATGCCCTTTACACCCGTATTTTCAGTGGATCCCGCTGCTGCGTTCCTTCTTGCTTGAATTTGGCAACAGATTTATGCTTTCGTTTCGTCGGCGCAAATCGAATCGTCAAAGGTACACTGCGTAATACTCGAGAAGCGAAAATACACGAGCTTCGCAGCATCAGTAGTCAGTGCGTTTACAATTTATAAGAAAATATAAACCAAACATTATATTTATAAATACCAATTAAAAGCTATGAAAGAAAAGCAAACTAAGTGTCTATAGTTTCAGCATCAGCTGAAATATCATCATCTAGATTCAAGACAACACCAATAAACAGTAGACGAAGAGTTTTAGCGGAAAGGAGTGTCTCTGGCACCCCCCTTAGTGGTGTATTTCAAAGTCTATAGTTGGTATATCCAACTGAATTGCACAACACGAGGTAAACGTGCACACTCTGACGCTGACAGTTTCGAGATGGCTTGTTTGAACACATTAAAATTGGAAATAAAAACACTGGAAAAAATATTTAACAAAAACCACGAGCGCTTTCAGATACTGAATTCCAGTGTCGACGAATTGACATGTCGCTTCATTGGCAAAAATGGCAAGCGATATGATATTCACGCAAATATTACGGTAAGTAGTATAGTATATTTGTACTATATATATATGCATATAGTTGCTGCTAACTTGTTTTTTTTTATTTAGATAGTATTTGCATTTAAAGTTCAATACAACTATTTAATATGCGTGTTTTCCGATTTATAACACCTCGCTAGCTCGGTCCGACACATTTGTTTATAAATGAAATAGTGCAAAAATATTTTTAATTCCATATTTAACTTTCGTTGAAATCCTTTTATTCATACAATAAGAAAATGTTTACAAACAAGCAAAAAATTAATGCTACTATATTTTGTAATCGAATAAAAATAAGTGAAAAAAAAATTATAATTTCAATACTAGAGCTATTTTTTTGAAGCGCGTCCGACCGCTTACGCAAAAGGTTTTAGACTAAAACAAACTTGAAATACCCCGGTATTGCACCGACCAGGGTTCTTTCCGCCAACGCCAAAAGGTGTTTTAAGCTAAAAAAAAACTTGTCGCACCCCAGTGGTAGGTAATAAAAAGATTTGTTCCAATAGACAACTGCAAAAATCCTTTTTTCTTTTTTGTGTAAAATATATTTTCTTTATTTGTTTTAGTTCATTTACAAAAATTGATTATTTGAGACTGCAACCCTTTAGACGTTTTTAATTTAAGTTTAATATAAAACTATTTTTGCACTATACATAAAATATAAAGTGTCAGTGGACATAAAAATTCAAAATAAACTGAAAAATACGTACTTCAAATAGTGGTAGTTATCCCGCGGCTATAACTATATATATTTTTGATCTTGAGAATCTCCTCTATCCGATCATACTCATTTTATTCCCGAAATCCCGTGATTATAGATACTAAAGTTTTCCCCCTTCAATTGATGACTCTGGGAATCAACCTGCCCATGACCATAGAGGTACTTGTGGCGTTGTGAAAATTGAACAGCCCAAGACCTATTGCAAATGTGTGTTGAAGTGTGAATGGAACTACTTTATTAAAAAATTTATTCTATTTTCACTTTTATGACGGCCTGGAATAAGATTTTGGAACATCTAAAAATATAACCCCTTTTGATCATTGCAATAACAAGTTATGGCATCAACATCTTGGAATGTTGGAGCTTGAATTATTGGAAATTGATTTATTTTATTTACATTATTATTAATTCAGTTTGAGCTCATATTACATACATATATTAGACTAAAGAGAATTTTCGTATTTCATCGATTTAAAAAAACTTTGCAGACGAAATAGTTAAAATACGTCATTTTATATTTAAACCAAAAAATCCAAATTTTAAACACAATGTTTATTTATTTAATTTTCAACCAAATTTTTAAATTTTCTAGTAAGCAAATATACATTTTTTATAATCTCACCTTTTATTTAAAACTGAATTGTTTAAATAGACTAGTTCCCGAGATATTTCATTTTTAGTAGGAGTTTGTGGCGGAAACATGCAAAAACTTACAAAGGCCATTCAATTAATTTTTAATCTTCACGGGTAAAAGTTAATATAAGAAGTGCTATTTGATTGTAATATACTATATTATTCTGTATTGCGTCAACCCTTTTTTCTGTCGGAGTGTTACCCTATTGAAAAATGTTGAATATTGAAAACATAAATACTGGGTTTACAATGTTGTCAAGACATTGAGGTTTAGGAATGGGAGTCCCACTGAAGGAGAAAGGAATGAGCTTTATTAAGGATAAGCTCACGGAAGTTTGGTGAAGAAGCTATTAAAGTAGCAATAGAGACACCTTGATCTTAGCTACCGTGCATTACATATTAGTTCTAGTCTAAGCAGACAGTTCGAGAAATTGTAAGGTTAAAGAGGTTCATAGGATGGAGTTTTCCGCTTTGCTATCATTAGCATGGAAATATCTCGCAGGAAGAGTGCTCTTTCTCCATGCGATTTTTCTCGACTGTCCCGTCATTGCGAAATCAAAGTTATATACCTCAGGTCAAAAAAACACAAACATCTAGGTGTACCAGACGGAATTCAAATTAAAATCTTACCAGGTTAGTAATGGGTTTAAGGTGTTTGTTCCTTAGGGAGTTTTTCTATGTGACACCAGAATATAAAAAATTAGTCTAATTACACAGAACGAAGCGCTGAACTAAATCAGAATGACATTTCATTTCCTTCACAGGATATCAATCAATACCTTACTTACTTAATTTCACTGAATGGCCTTCTAAAAGTTAAACCCATACCAATTACAGAATAAAAAGTCGAGCTACCTTTATAAAAAATTGCTTACATTATCTGTGCAGTAACATAGCCTCAGTTTTTGTGATTGGCTCTCCATTGTTGTTTTTTTTTTACAACGAGCATTCTCTTTATTTCTGAAAAATGAAAATGTCACAGAGGGCCAAATTTAGAGAATACAATGGATGCAGAAAAAAATTGAAGTCCAATTTAAGAAGTTTTGATAGTGTATTCATTGATTAGTGACATTAGAAACAGCACTTTATTCTTCTTCAAATATAGCCGTTTTTTAGCAATTGTCCTTCAAGAGCTACAATAATGCTGCATTTTCCCTTTAGAAGAAAGTCGATGAATATTATATCAAGTCCCAAAACATTGATTCCATAACTTGTCCAACCGACTTTTTTGTCTTTCCACGCTTTGGGGTCGATTCGTCATGCGCAGTCCACTCACTGACTGAGAATTATTCATTTACAATATACATATTTTCAATACGTTCTTTTAATATCTTTAGAGTCGAAGCTCCCTCGAACAACTTCACTTTACGCGCATCTGAACTTATTTTGGGGACTTTTTGATGTTTTTGTCGGTAGAAGCTTCCCGGATTTTATCCGGGCAAGGACTGTTTTTTCGGCGATCTAACCCCGTTTGGATCGGTGAGTATTAATTTTATTAATTTTGTCCACTGCCTTCATCGGCTGGTTGTTGTTGTTGTAGCGGCAGAAAACTGGCGAGTTGACAGTCCTTGGTCGGATAAAATCCGAGTCCGTTCCGGTTACGTAGACCCAACTGTCGTGGGTTGTCATTTCGCTTCGGTGGTCATTTCGCTTCGTTCAAATTTAGCAAACCACTTTTCAACGATTGATTCCCTGGTGCAGAGTTCAAAAAATGTTAATAAACGCAAACCTTGCTTTAACAGTATTTTTTCCAAAATAGCAATGCATACTAAATTCCTTTTAACCCATTTTTTGGATTTTAATATAAGTAGCTTCATCTAAAATGCTACATCTCATAAACTAATAGTTTGATAGGTGCCAATTTGTACACGGATTCTTCAAAGGTAGGGACTGACTAAAAATCATATGGATTTAATATTAGTAGTACCATCTACAGTCATGGACAGAGGAATAATACACTTTCAAAATAAGTTTTCAAATTTATTAAATAAATAAATCTTAAAAATTTTTTCACTTTAGTGTATGGCTTGAATTCCACAACTTATAACGGCAAGCGTATGCCGTTATCATGCTTACTTTTTTGTTGTTACTCCTATCACTCGGAAATAACGAAATTTGATTGAACAATGAAATAGCACACTTTTAATTATTTGTACAAATATTCATTATTAATTAGCAATCGTGCAAAAAATACGCTGTTTTAACTATATGTGACCTGGTCTACGAAAAGGGAGCTAACGTGCGAAAACTAGTTTATGCCTTTTTGGATTCTATCACGTGAAAAAGCATCTCATCTTCCATCCGGATCAACTAAGATTTTTTGACACCTAAGCCCCCTTTCCGTAGACCAGGTCACATATATATAAAAAAAAAATTAACATATTTTAAAAGTGGGCAGAAATGTCGATTGTACTCTGAAAAAATATTTGAACACAAAAAAAAAACGCAAAAATTCAACTAAGATTGCTGATACTATTAGTTGTTTGAATAAAATTATATGCAACGCAATAATTTTTGTTAACCCTTTCGATTCGAACGGGCCGTACATATGTATGAATGTGTCCCGGTGTATTTTCAAAGATACCTAGCGTAGAAAATAAGTGGTTAAATTAGTCCCATTTCGTAGCTTATAGTATTCTTAACGATATTTGTTTGCATTCATGATATTTTAAATAGTAAACACGTGTTCATTTGCCAAAACAGAGCAAATGGTTGGATGCGTATTTTATAATTTGCAGTCTTTACTGTTTCTAAAGCTGAAACCTTAATAAATAGTTGTGCCTGTGTTCTTGACATATTATGAAGTTGCTGGGTACTCATATTTTATCGTATTTTTGTAATTTTTGGTAAGTATAAGTTTGTGTTCCATCAGTATTTTTTTTTTGCCTAAAAATGTCTCAGTCAGGATCCCGCGCACACATTTATTGACAACATTTTAAATCAATTAATAATTTTGTAACTTTTGTACAGACTAACAATGTCAATGACTTTTCGAGCGTTAGTAGTGATGAATATTTATAAGCCTACAGATCGTGAGGAGTCTACTACTGAAAGCAGTGATGCTGAGCACATTGATCATCAAGACGAGGATGTAGATATACATAACTTACGCGAAATAAATTCTGCACACATTTTTCAGAATACCTCAATTATTTGGTCTGCACCCACCCACTGTGACTTTTGTTCCAAGAAAAACTTTGAGCAGCCTTCGAATTCCAAATAAACTATTCTATACTGAAGGCATGTTGGAGTGCCTGAAATCTCGATTTTGATGTTGAAGGATGGAAAGTGCATACCAGAGTTTTTTATAGACTTATTATGACGTCTGTTGGAAATTCTTGGGTAATTATTTCTTAACTGGGACGAAGACAAACCCCACTCATTGATTTTATGATCGTTTTGGCTGAGAACATGATTGAAGAGGAAAAGAAGAAGGCATCTGTTCGTCGCAGTTATATATTTGTTAGAAAAAGAAAAATAGTCGCTGGGCAAATTCGCAATCGGAGGCGTTGTGCTAGCTGCGCAGAACACAAAAAGGAGAGGCGTGCAAAAACAATTTGCGAAGAATGTTAGAAACCTTGGAAACCCGCCAGCAAAGGGGAATCTTATCGYCCGATAACTCTCCTCTCCCCAGTAGTGAAGA